CTTATCCTTTAAATTCCGATCTTTTCATGCTCCATCTTTTTCTTTGCCCGTTCCCTTCGCCATCTTGGCTCGATGGAGCTTTGCTGCTGCCCTAAATAACTCACTCTATAATTGAAAATTTCACTATGCTCTACTATTATTAACCAATACCTTGCAATCGTTGTTCGTCTAGACTTATATCCTTCTCTGTAGAAGTGTTTCAGCATCATTTTGCGTTGCTTTTCGTCTACAATCGTTGTTTTATGGGCAATATTCAGCGTGCAAAAGGTGACATACCATCGGGAGCATTATCATCGATGAATTGAGCTATGCTCTGCCACAGTTGGTTGGGCTTCGTCTCGGCAAGTTGTGGTTCTGTCGCAATGGCTTGGCACGACTTAATACGTTATTTGAGGAATGAGCGTCAATGGGTAATCGTTGCGAGCTTTTTTACCTGGTACACCATTCGTGTCACTTTGTCCTTCGCGTTTTTCAAGGGCACGCACACATGTGGTAGAAGAGCGGGATCTCCGATAAACTCACACCCATTCTGTACCTAAACTATTACACAATTTGAGTGCTGAAGTACTGAAAGGGACAAGAGATGTTTCGTACCGCTATGCTGTTAATGAAGTTCTTCTTCCTGCATCCCGTGCACCGTATTATCACTAGCCCTCGCTTGGTGGTGCGCACCTGTTCGAAAGCATAACACAATTCTCCACCTGAAAGATAGCTGTGAGGCGAATTTTGCATCAACATTAAAGACAGCGATTACTATGGGTACTAGGTGGGTTTAGAATAGAAGGGGGTGCTAAATTGTGCGATAGTAGCCAAAACAAAGGTGTCCTCCAAGAGGCTCGTCGCGCGCCGAAGGAAGAGATGCAGACGAAGCAAAGAACGAGTCGCAGCGCAGTGTACCATACTACGTCTCATATCGCACAGCACGCTTCGCCGCGCGACGGGCCTCTTGGGGCACACCCGCCGGTTCACTAGTGCGGGCTGGCCTCAGTGAGAGATATACCTGACACCAATAGTTCTTCTGAACAAGGATTTTATTTCAGGTCAATCTCCTCAGCAAAGGAGTTCTAAGCATAGCGTGAAATGGGCCGCAAGTACGCTACAAGATACGCTAGCAATATCGTCACTAGTTTGATTCCCTCTACATCCTATCCGCCATCTAACTCGCACCCCTCACCTACCGGGAGTGCGTAACGTGCACGCAGCTGGCCGGCAAGCGAGAAGGTGCGGGTTCTAGTCCCGCCTGGGGCGAAAGTTTTGTTCACAACCCAGCATTCTTGTGAAACATTCGCAACGCGAACTGCGGCGTTAAAACAGCAGTTAACAAGCGAGAGATTACGACAAAGTATGAGTGCAAGCATGGAAGTACATGCACCAGTGGAAGCAGTAGTCAGGGGCCTAAGGAAGCAAGATGTGGCCTTTTCGTGGCCAAAGGCGCGCTAGTTCAGCGCCACGGGCTGCCAATCCTCGCTGAGCTCCGCCTCTGCCAAAAAAATCAAAGTATTATCTTTGCTGGAATGATAGAGGCTATGGTTTAACATGTGCAAACTTAATTGGTTGCTAGCTCGTCCATTATCGGAGGTCAACGGGCAAAGAAAGGGGTCCCATTTTGCGCGTTCTTGACGGATTTCTTTGCTTTTTTCGCCACTGGGGCATTATTCAGCATCCCACTTCCACTATGAACCCAGTCCAATCTTATCGTAATCTCCTCGCTTTAACAAATAGATCGAATCAAAGTTATTATCCTTGATTGATAACGAATGATATTGACGGTGTGAAAAATAGCCGCTTGAAGTGAAATTCTCTTTCAGAAGAAAATGAACGGTTCTGGTGGAAGGAGTGGCTCTAGAGCACTACAGTTTCAAGGTTTAGAAAATTATTGCGCTGCAATTAGTTCCGCCGATTTCCACTGAAATGTCACACCTCCTTTGCTGCCTGGCTTCTGCCTACAATTGCGCACATAATTCCCAATGTGCGCATTCACTCCTATCGTAATCTCTGCATTTACGGAAGACTTCTTGTTTTGGGTGCACTCACCCGGAATTGTGTACTTGACCACTGGATGAACACCTCTTTTACTGGCTTCGACTTCCCCACGGAAGAGCTCTCCCGTCAGGTTTATGTGGTATTGGCGACGTTGACCAGGAATTCCTTCCTCAGCTGATTGAGGTCGATTGAGATCTAAACTCACGCATGATGGTTCAAAAATCTATCTGGTCAAGAAGACGAAAAGGGTACCTTGCGCTGATTCAGAAACTGGTTTGGACGTCGTTGGCTGTGTG